TTTAGCCCCTTGATAGCTTCGCCGTTAGTTCGCGTTAAGAGGCCAACTCTGTTAGAATCTTGATAGCTTCGGCTATATCTTTTTAGTTAAGTTTTACTTCTTGGTATTCCTGAGTTCAAACCCAAGTGGAGGCTTTATTGTAAACTTCAAGAAGGAGTCATCTGTTAATTTTATTTTGAATAATAAAGGGTATTTAACCCTTCTTGAGTTCTGTTCACCGAACTAAGCGATTATTCGCTTACCAGTTAAGGTTTACCATTTTCAGCTTTAATTTAAAGGCAGGAATCTTACAGCGGTACTTAAACAATTTTGAGAACAAAAATTCAATGGTTAACTTTGGAAATTCAAGACATGCCTCCTGTCCCCTCTTGCAATTGTGGGGTTATAAGGAGTGGAATCCCGCTTTCTTAGCATGCTCTTGTGGTGCGGTGGTCAGCACACTCGGCGCGTATTCGAGAGGTCCAGGGTTCGAGTCCCGGCGAGGCCATTGCTCATCTCCTGCTTCAAAAAAATATAATGACTCTAAAGTGCCGCCCGAACTAAAAAAGGTGGTGGATGATGATTCTCCACCACCAGGATTAGACGATTGGGTCCCCTAATCCGCAGTCGCCCTTTAAAAGGGGAAGTATATGACGTATTTCTCCCCGCCTTCTTAGCATGGCTTCGTGGTGTAGTGGTCAGCACGCTCGGCGCGTATTCGAGAGGTCCTGGGTTCGAGTTCTGGTGAAGACATTGCACATTTTTCACATCTCCTGCTTCCAAATAACCTAATATATCTACAGAGTTACAGCCTAGTTGAGCCTTCTCACAACGAAGATTTTCTATCTGTAAACTTCAGACAGGTTTGGGAGAAAACACAGCTGGTTCTATACTATCAAAAACAGCAATGTCAGGGAAAATTAACTGCTACCGATAATTGGGAAAGAACTCAAAGTATGAAGTTCTTGCAAAGGTACAGCGAGGAGCCGAAATGATCACTTAAATTTAGGTTAAGACTTTTCAGCTGCTTTGCCATTAATCATTATTTATTGATTTTACCATCAAACAACTGACAATACAAAGCAGGCAAAATACCTATAAAGCCAATTTATTACCTGTGTTTAAATTCTTCCTCGAAACCTGAAAAAAACCTGGAAAATATAGTTATGTTTGCACTAAACATTCTAAGAAAGTGTTTGTCGTTTGAGGGGGAAAAAAAATGAAGAAGAAGATAAAATCGTGGTTTAGAGTAGATTTAACGATGCCTCTTGGATTATCGCTAAGTTGTTTCATTTATCGCCAAGTTGTTGTTTCATTTATAGTAACCTGAGTAGTTGCATGCTATCGAAACCCTATTATATGACGTAATTCGTTGCGTGATTGCGGTGAATTTGAATGATGGAGAAAAAATCGCCAATTATCGCCAAAAGGAACATGTAAATATATCTTTACTAAAATCGTTCTTGATGATGGAACACATTTTAGTAGCTCTCAGAACGCACTCAATATTATAAAAAAATGTTCACCCAACGATTTTGCAGAACCAGTCTACCTATTTATCAAAGGAACTTCCCACAAAAAGAAAAACAGTAGAAGAAGAGAAGCTGAAATCAGTAGTCGGTGTGATAAATATTTTGAAACGAAGGAAAAAAAAGGACTGTATTCCCTGTCTGGAAAACCTATTAGGTTAAAAACTGCTTTGTTAACTGCTTTGTTAAAAAAAAAAAAAAAAAAAAAGTATCTTGCCTTTTCTTGGTCATCGATAAGAGACGATAAGAATATTTGGTTACTGAAATTAGAATTTGTGAACTCTGCAAAAGCGTTTGTATTTTTAAAATATTGGAAGATTTAAATATAGAAACTTTTATTGACGAAAATGAAATTCCTGATGAAAGTTTGAAATGGATATTTCAAGAAGAGTTAATTTGTGATAGGCAGTCTAAATTTGAAACAATGATTAGTCATTTAGATGGTTTTCTGTTTCTGATGATCATGATGATTACATAGATAAAATGTCAAAAAAATAATCAGAGTTACGGGAAATATCAATCTGCTGTTGAAATGTGTAGAAGCAAAAAATAATCCCGATTATATGACATTTAAATATTTCTGCAGACAGATGCAGCTGATTCAAATTAAGCAGCTTTCTCAAAGTACAGAATTCCTTGCCTAGGTTTCTTATGTCTTTTATTATAATCCAAACTACTATAATATTATACGCAACAGTAAATATTTTGTATTTATGTACTCATGTTTTAGAAAAGTTAGCTTTGAAAACTTTTTTTTTTTTTTTTTTTTCCCGACCTGGCAAATTCTGGTTTACAAACAAGTTTTAAGTCAAGTGTACTTAAAAGAAAAAATGAGAAAATTTAAAGAGTTATGAAAAACATATCAGTTTATTGTTAGGTGATATAAGGATATATTCTTCTTATAGATAAGAAAAATGTAAGTGCTGCTATTTAATTTACATTCTTCTTATAGATAAGAAGAATGTAAGTGCTGCTATTTAAAACTTCCGGATCTGCAAATTAAATTGCAAAATTATAGAATAGAATGTGGGAAGGATGCATTAGACACTGATAGAAAGTGATGGAAAACTGTGAATAAAAAAGATCTTACAGTTTGGGAACATTACTTATGCAACTTATTAGCTAATTAACTGCCAAATTTATTTCCTCAATTTTCATTTATTTCTGGGTGTCTGGATTGACATTAGCCATAGAGACTAGAAATTGGAAAGTAAATGGAATGCAGATGGGATCTGCCATGAGCCCCAAGTAGAGATCGACATTCAAGTAGTACTCACCGGAAAATAAAATTCACATTGACAATAAATAGTTAGTAAATATATTCTAAAACCATTGGAGAACACGGCACTACATAGGAGTTGGAAATGATCTACCTTGCAGGAAAAAAAAAAAAAAAAAAAAAAAAAGACAGTTCTATATCTCCCGTTCTACTGGGCCGATTGACGAAATTTAACTTGCGTTTTTCATGTCTTAAAAGCGCGACTTAGGATATGTGTTACATTTATACATAGCAATGTTCTAATATAGGTAATTTGACATAAAATCGGACCTTTTCTAAGATGACATGATATTTTTTTTTTCCATATTTCGATTCTACGACTTAAATTATACCAAACTGCCCAGCTTTGTAAAAATAAAAGTAATTTTTAAAAAAATTACCTCTCAAAACTTTAGCTCCTCTATGTTAATTGAATTTGATGTATATTGATTAATTTCTCTTTTTTTTTTTTTACTAAACTTACTTGATTTCTTCTTACAGAATTTGAAATTTAGGTTGATTCCAAATAAAATTCATCCATGTTTTACAATTTATTTTTTAAATTTGTATTTTCAAATGATTTTTATAAATTTTTCGAAAAACATTTTGTATTATAACCTATAAACCTTTTACCATCCTGTTAAATTAGATGTATTTCTAAGGATACCTGCAAAAAAGTAGAGTTTTTTATTCAAAATTTCCTATGATATGCGGGAATTTTTACCTCGGCGCATTTTGAAATTTGGCGTATTTAATGGAAGCGATAACAATGAAAATGTGGTTTACGCACTTTATTAACATTATTTGAAAGAATGAACGATGGACCGTTTTCCTCTCGGGCATCAATGAAAAAAAAATAATAATAATACAAGTAGGGTGCTGTAAATTAAGAATTCCTCCTCAATAAATTACAATTTTTATATCTAGGCATAATTTGAGAAGTAAAATCGAAGTATGGAAAACACGTGGTATGTTATTTCAGAAAAAGTCCAATTTTGTGTCAAAATATCTATGTTAGAATGATGTTATATATAAATCCAATATATATCTTAAGTCGCGCTTTCGAGACATGAAAAACGCAATTCGAATTTCGTCAATCGGTGCAATAGAACGGGAGATATAGGATTTTTTTTTTTTTTTTTTTAGCAGTGTACATTACAATATGGCATGTTTCAAAATGTTGAAATCTTGAAACTCACAAAAATTTTACTTCTTCTCACAAATAATACTCTCCAGCTCACTCTTTTAACAATTACTTCTCAACAACGTAAAAAAAGTAACCATTGTTGCCAACCTAATTAAAGTTACCAAATTTCCCCTACTAAGACAAATCCTTAAATGGGGGTCATGACAGTTAATAGGTTAATGCATTATAATTGGTATACTATTGTTGTATAAATTACACATTTGCGTGTGATTATGGCAAAGCCTCGTGGGCTATCTGCCTAAGGGGAGGGATGCCTTCGTCGAGGACTTTCTAAGGGAAACTGGCTCGTATACACGTTACACATGGGGAAAACCACGAAAACGCCCATGCAGCCAGCCCGTTCGCGGGATTCGAACCTCGGACCGAACTACCAGTGTTCAGCGACTTTACCGCTCGGCCGCTGGTGGGCTACACATTTTGTAAATCCTATGATACATATGCACTGATTGTTTGTTCTGTGTTTATTTCAATATAAAGCAATTTTTCCATTCAATTCATTAACAAATTTGTGTTTCAAATTTCATGCTATATAAGAACATAATTTTGTCAACTAAAATTCTACATATGATTTTAAGGATAAGCAATCAAGCAAATGTATTATTAATATTATCAGGCAAATATAATATCAAGCAAATGTATATTATAGTATAAGCAAATATATATATATCAAATAATCAAACAAATATATTATTAATGTTTCATGATAATAATTTGCAGCGCTCAATTATTCAATTTCAATTTTCATTTTTAGTGTGAATATGAGTTTAGTATGGTCAGAAGTTTAAAAGAAGTCTAATCTGACCCTAGTAAGGTAAATACATGGCTATTAACTAATATAATTTTTTTCTTGCATGGATTTGTAATAAATAGGTAATAAATAGCCAATTTCTTACTTTATTCTTAAAACCTTTATAACTTTTACCTCTCTTACTTTATTCTTAACCCTTTAACCTTAAAACCTTCTTCTTCCTTTACCTTCATTCTTAAAATTTAAACCTTCTAATTCAAATACTTTATTCTTAAAACCTTTTTTTTTTTTTTTTTTTTATAAATTACAAAAATATTCTTCAGGAATTTCATGTTATTTAATTTCTGCTAATTTTTGAGCTCTAACTATATGCTTATTAATATTATGAGCCATCTATTTCTTTCATTAAAAAGTTGTACATTACAGTATGCAAGAAGGTTTTCACAGTAATGGCACATAAAATAAGATAGGATAAAATTCTATCATTAAAAATATATCATATGCATTGATATAAGACATGAAATTGAACTGATAAATGACACGTTTATTTTCAACAAAGTTATTTAAAAACACTTAAAACTATTAATGCCAGCAATTTCTATTGGGCACTAATTATTAGGTAGTATTAAAAAATATAAATTATATTCATTTCAAGATTCTATCCCATATTCTAATGACATTAACGCATCTCTTCTGAATTTTCTTCACAATTACGCTATATCATGTAATTCTGGTATCTTTATTATAAATATTGACATTTATGATTTAAGACAATTTTACAGTACAAATAATTACAAAATTACTATACCAGAGTATTGTTTTTACCAACACAAAGAATATCGCCTCCTGCTTCTGGCAGTTTATGGCAATCTAGGCTTTGGGGCCACTGAAACCCAAAATTATTCAGAAGTCGTTCACAACTTTCACGAACCGTCATACAAAGCGATCGGCATGGTGGTATGGCTCTTTCAATTGAAGTGCAAACGGGAACATACATAGTGCACAGAAAAAACTGCAAATCGGGGCTACACTTTACTTTAACGAGAGGGAAAAACTGATGCACTTCCACAGCTGCGTCTTCTTGTTTCTGATTGTTCAGTAAATTTGGCATAATGGTTTCATTATAAGGTATGTCTTTGCACATGGGTATGGTTATTGGTTCGCATCGACCATGATGAGGAATCAGATCCTCGCCGTGCGAGCTCGCACTTCGTCCGTGTTGAATTGCTGTTGTCGTGGAGACGAGCAACACTGACAACCATGCTACAAATAAGATGACGGCCATTTTTGTTACAAATCGTGCGACATTCCCAGTAATATACCGTCAGCTGTCGAAAGGACACAGATATAACTCGAGAATTGTTTTGATAATAATACCGATAACCAATTTCATTAATCGGAGACTTACAACTGCACGCTTATTGTAATAAGACTTCGTTATATATTCAGCACGACAGACATATCTGCACGAGCCGGAAGTACAGCTCGACGGCGCAACTTTGCTGGTGGTGGAGATAAGCTCGAGGTCATGGACCTAATAAGAAATAGACTACCCAAACGGGTTTCCTCCCTCGTCTGAGGCGTTGCAGACTGTCACCTTGATCACATCCGGAGGAGTAGGGACGACTTGCAGAAATTTAACAGTGGTTGCCTATTGCAGCGTGTATAATTGTCAAAAAAAAAAAAAAGTTGGTTGTAGCTTCTCATTTCACAAATTAGAATTTCTAAATATTTTTATTTTTGAAACTGAGATTAATTTTTAACAATTTAGCATATTTATCAAGCATAATTACCGTTCCAAATAATTATAAAGCTATTGCATGCTGGGTATTTTTTTTAGCTTTTCCTATGCTGTAAGGAAATTTGTAACTACTTCTTTTAGAAAATAATATTTTAAACAAGCAATTTTCTCTTGAAATTTTTATGCTTTTTTTTTTTTTTTGGTGTAAATAAGTAAAAATTACTAAACTATTTAAAAATGAATTTTCGAAAGTTTTGTTTAAAATTCTAAATTGTGCTGCTTTTTTAAAATTATAGATGAGTATTATAGCATAATTTCTATAAAGGCTGGTGTTGGTGTATTTAATTATGGCAAAGCACACTAGGGCTATCTGCCTAAGAGGAGGGATGCCTTTCGTGGAGGACTTTCTAAGGGAAACTGGCTCGTATACACGTTACACATGGGGAAAACCACGAAAACACCCATGCAGCCAGCCCGTTCGCGGGATTCGAACCTCGGACCGAACTACCAGTGTTCAGCGACTTTACCGCTCGGCCGCTGGTGGGCTCAATTTCTATATAGGAATTTTATTTCAAATATATTTCATAATACATCATAGTGATAACCACTTTTGACGTCTTAAAAATATTTATACATTTAATTCTAATATTAAAATTCTATTTAACGTAATAACTAATTTTCCTTGTATTTTATAGTGATTATTTTTTTTAAATATTTTTTTAGTTCTGCATAAGATTTTTTTTATTTACTGTTAATTTAATTTATCAGCCCAAAGTGGCGGTAGCCTAGAAAGGCTGTTAGTTTCGAAGCGGAATTTTGCACTGTTTTACTATGAATGTTCGTGCCTCCTTGCAAATTGTTGTTACCAAATATTATCGCCCTGTTTTATATGTAAAGAAATTAAATAATGAAGAATCTGCATGAATACATGTATGTTTCTCGCACTGTGACAAAAACGACAGTATCTAGAGACATCAAATTTTGAATAATGTAATCCACCAGCATCTGGACAGCCGAATTTCGAATTTGTTTTAATCTATTTCATATTTTGTAAAACTTTAATGAATTTTTGATTAACAAACTCAACGAGTTCAAAGTGAGCAGTGTACGGAAAATAACAGTTTTATCTCCAGTGCGAAAATTCTAAAGATATGCTGTTTTCAAATGTATGTGGTTTACGGGCGAAGAACATGATATTCAATAAATATTAGTAACACACAAAACTTTAAAAAAAGTTTCTTTTTGGACGTAATATAAAATCTGAGTGCTTCTAGATTTTATTTTATCTTTTTTCTTTCCCTTCATTACGCTCAGAAAATTTTATGCTCCGAAATTTATGAATTATAAAATAACTATCCACTTTTAATGTTAATAATTTAATAATCATATAATCAAATAAATATGATCGTTTTGTAATGTTATTATAGTTTGGAAAATCACTGCCTGAAAATGTTCATTAAATTTTTTAAAAAAATTATCAGATCTTGTTTATCTTATTTATTTCAAAGCATCACGTATTATCAATCTTATTTAATTTTACTTTATTTTTAAGCAAAATTAAGTTCATAAATTTTGTACTTAGAGTTTTACCAAAGTAAAGATGTTTGTACAAGAATTACGCGTGAAAAAAAATACGCGAAATGCAGTAAAATGTGCTTTAATGAGATATATTAAATCCTATTTGAAAAAAAAAAAACTGTGACTTTCATAATCTCATCACTATACAACGTATCACATTTAATAATTAAAAAGAATTATGTGATAAAAGCGTAGTAAAAGTAAACCAGATGTTAAAGTAAACCAGATCGTCCCTGCTTTTTCTTGCCGACATGTCAGTGACGCGCGCCCCGCCCATTGGGTTAGTCTATCTCTTATAAGGTCAGGTCAGGTCAGGTCGTAACATTAGACTATGAGTATCGTACTAATTAAAGTACATGACTCATCAATGATTAATCCAATTAAGGCTTTATGAATGGTAGAATTTTTGCTTCATGAATTATGAATGATTTTATTAAGTCATATTCTTGGGATGTTAATTGAAAGCCACTGGTCACGTGTTTCTTAGCCAGAATGGTGATTGGCGAGAGCGAGAAAAGCTTGAATTTTCATATTTCGTAGTATTTTCGACTATATATACAAAATTTTTTATATAATAGATGCATGACAATAAATACTAACATTCTTTGTTAGTGTATAAATTTGCAATAATGATGTTGTTGATAAATATGAAATAAAAGATGAGAAAACTAGGATAAATAGGTGTGACTGTAGTTAGCCAATAAGATACAAGAATCTTATTATGAAAAACTCTTGCTTCAGTAATGTACAAAGAACAGTAGTGGAGTAAATCTTGATTAAATAGTAAATCATGTAATAATGATGATGATAAATTACTGATGATTATAGCAAAATTCACCACCGAACATTATGATGAATTGTTCGAGGTCTTTTATACTTTTGTTCAATTATATAGTCATAGTTGCCAATGTTTTGGATAATATTGGAGGATGTTGTTGCATTTTATTATAAAATTTATAGACTGTTTTGAGAATTTTTCATCTATTGTATTAATATTAGATCCCTATGTAAAACTCATTTCTTATAAACCAAGGGGCACCCAGCATGGTTTAATAATTTTATTTTGTATAAACTTGGAGTTGATTTCTGTTTGATTTAGCTGCTGCAGCCCAGACAGGTGATCCATACAGCATGACTGGTCTTATGAGTTGTAAATAGATGATTCTTTCGTATTAATGCTAAGTTTGAATGGCTATTAATAATAGAGTATACACTCATGAAGGCCTGCATTGTTTTAGTTCTGGTAGATAGCATGAAGATGTTCTTTAAAGTTGAGTTTGTAGTCAAGATGGATGCCTAGATATTTAACTGTGTTTCTCTATTTATAGGTTGATTATTTATATAAAGCTGTTCACAAACTGGTCTTCTAGTTGTTCTTTTGAAAAAATGTTATTGCTTTTATGAGGATTAATTTTAATTTCCATTTAATAGCCAATCTTGGATATTGTCAACTGCTTGTTGTAATTTAGGTTGCGCATGAGAAGGGTTGATTGAAATAGAAAAAATTGCTGTGTCATCAGCATATTGGGCTATTTCAGTACCTGGGTAGATAGGAAAGTCATTGGTATAGATGATATATAAATACGGTGCCAAATTCCCTCCTTGAGGAACACCAGCATTTATTCTTCTTTTTGTAGAGTAACTATTGTTGATACGGACTTGAAAAAATCTATTTTGCAAGTAGTTGTGAATAATTTGTATTAATGCAGCAGGAAAGTTGTATTTAATTAATTTGTAAATGAGACCTGTATGCCACACTTTATCGAACGCTTTCTCCACACGAGGAAAAAGAGCGGCGACAGTTTCCTTTTATTAAAGCTTCACCGATCTTCTCAACGATGCGGGAAACTTGATGAATAGTAGAATAATTTTTTCTAAATCCAAATTGAAAGGGAGAGATGATATTATTGTCTTGCGCATATTGCTGTAGACGTTTTTGAATAATTTTTTCAAATATTTGAAATAGCTGGTAGTAAAGAGATTGGTCTATAATTGCGGTCAGTTTTTTATCTTTTCCAGGTTTTTTAATAAAATTATAGTGGAATGTTCCAAGCAGTAGGGATATAATTTTTTCTGAGACAGCATTGAACAGATTAACTAAATAAATAACAGCTTTTTTAGGAAAATTCTGAATTGCAGTGTTGGATATTTATCATATCCACTTGCTTTTTGGGATTGAGCTGTTTAATGATATATATAACTTCTGTAGGTGTGGTAGGATAATTTGCTGTATCCTGTTGGAGTTAAGAAAATTTTGTACAGATTCTTTTATGCTATTGTCCTTCTTGCTGATTCATGTTATGATGTTGAATTGTTCTTCGTATACATTAGCAAATTCATTAACTATGTCTTCAGGATGATGGATAATATTGTTGTTACATTCAATAGGTCCAATTTTTTCATTATTTCTTCTGAGTTTCTTAGCTAATTTCCAAATAGAGTGGTCAGTGTGGGATAATTTTTCTACGTAATCGTTCCAGTTGTCATTTTTATAGTCATCACATAATTTTTTAACTTTATAGTATGCTCTTTTATAGTTGATGTGATCAGTATGGGTACGAGTTCTTTGCCATATTTTCCTGAGTCTATTTTTAATTCTAATTTCTTCAGTAATATGTTGTGGTAGAGAGTAGTATTTTTTGGATGAATTTCTAGTAGCTTTATTGATGGAGTCAATAATTTTATTATTTAGATGAGTTGTTGCATTGTCTATTAATTCAGGAGTAGTCATACTAGCATTAGCAGAAATATTATCATTTAAAATGTATTTAAAATCTGTCCAGTTTACTTTAGTTGGCTGAGGAGGCATGTAATGGATGATATTATTAAGGATGAACATAATTGGGTTATGATCAGAATCCAGCTCAGGGATATTGATAAGATCAGGGATTTGTGGGATATTGCTAGTAATGAGTATGTCTATGACATCTGAGATATGACTATTGCAGGTTGAGATATGAGTAGGTTCAGTTGTAGAATGGATATTGATAATAGAATTTTGCATAAAGTTATACAGTCTGTTGCCATTGCTATTTGTATATCTTGAATTCCATGCTGGGTGTTTACAATTTAAGTCACCAGCAATTAATGTGGGTAACCCAAATTGCCAAATATAAGCTATTTCTGCTGTTGTATGATAATTTTTGTGGAGGTTTATAAACCGAGACAAATAAGTAGGGTGTAATATTATTACTATACACAAGGCAAGCACAGGCTTCTATTGAATTAAAGATAGGAAGTTGATATTCCATGTGTCTGATAGAATTTTTAATGATTATAGCAGTGCCTCCTCCACTGTTATGTAATCTATCATTTCTATAGATACTGTAGTTGGCAATTTTGAATTTGTTATTGGGTTTCAGATGAGTTTCATTTAGCATCATGATGTCGATATTATTTTCAAAGATAAATTTTGTAATTTGTAGGTGCTGCCTGATAACTCCATTACAATTGTAGAAGACGGATTTAATATAATTAAGCTTATTTGCCTTTGAGTAATTTCTGTGGTTATTGCTATTAGTCATTGCTGATGTTTTCATAGATTCTAAGTGCTTCGAAAGCTACTGACATTTTTTCTGTGACGGTATTAGCTTGACAGAAGTCATCATAGAGATCATATATTGATGCCATGAAGGCTATAAATTGATCTAAATTTTTTCCTTTGCTTTCTTGGGTATTATTTTGATTTCTATTGGTTCTTTGGTCTTTCTTATTATTAGTATTTATTATTTTCTTGAGTTTTGATTTTTCCTTGAAGTACAGCAAAGTATGATATACTATTTTCCGATTGGTTGATAGGGTCATGTGATCCTATTTGGCGTTTTTGATATTTTGCAGTATTATCCGAACTTTGACTTATTTTCATGGCAGATGGTTGAATTTTCATTGGAATTTTGTTGCTTATTTCGTTATTTTGATTGCCTGGTCTACGAGGGCAAGATATGGAGGATGCTGGATGTGATCCTGAACATAGGACACACTTCGCATCATAATTTTGAGTGCCCTTAAAAGGGCAGAGGTGTGATCTATGGTTTTCTGCACATCTTACACAACGAGGTGTATAATTACTTTATTTATTTTTTATTATGCCACATAAATGCTGTGTTGCAACATGCAAAGGAAATTATAAGAATGGCCCGAAGGTGGCTGTATTTAGTTTTCCTACGGAAGAACAACTGAGAAAACAATGGATTTGGAACTGCAAACGAAAAGATGGATTCAAGCCTACGAAACATTCAAAGGTAAGCATGCATTTCATTTTTAAATTAGAAAATTCCTGAAAGATTAATGTCATTGAAAGAAACATGACTTGAAAATGCGAAAACAAAAAATTCTCAATGCAAGGGAAATAATTTACTAAAGTTCCATTGCATTCAACCATAGAAAATAAAACGAAGTTTTAATTACTTTCTATACAAGCATAGTTATATATTTATTTACTAGGCAGAAATTTCTCTTATCCCATTATGAATGAGTATTATTAATGAATTCTTTCAGTAATTTATATTTTCGGCGTCGGGATCTTTATAACACGCACATTGATTTGGGATTGATTAATCTTTCAGGAATTTATGTTATACAGAGCTTATACTGAATTTTAAAGTGATTATAAAATGGACCCTTTTCTCAATAACTAGTCAATAGAAAATCCACCAACCTTATAAAGTTCATATTATAACTTTAAGTAGATAAATATAAAATGCTTCAAGTCGTAATTTTAAAGCCGTTAATTTAAAGTTGTTTTAGATATAAGTATTTAACTGTTTGGGTATACTATTTCTTTTGATTTAGATAAGTCTCGTTCCACCTATTTTATTTTTTTTTTTTTTTCTTTTTAAAACTGAATGTATGCAATGCCCCTTTATTATATGCTAGGAGCATTTGAGAATGCATTTTGCTCGTAACTCATGTGAACAGGAAATTAATGCTAATTATGCAATGTTCTAAACTTTATTAATTCTAAAATCCTTAAAAAAATTATGAAATATATGTAAAAGAAAACAATCGTATAAATGGACTAGTTTTGACAGTAATTATTTTAATTTCTGGAATAAGTTACAAGGTGTTTAAATTAAACTGTCTTGTTCAAATAATATTGCCTAAGATTGTAAGCTTACTAGTTTTCATTACATGTTAGCATAAATCCTAATTAGCCTATTAAATTGTTTCATGCACACACACATCTATAAAAGTACGAGTTTCTTATGCCAATAACACCTACCTTGTTACAGTGGTTCACTTGCTACTGGCAGTAAGTTCTTGTGGGCTTGAAATTTACATTAATTTCTTATCTAAAAACACTTATATAAGGGGTTTTGTTTATTTATACTTGTTGCAGTGGAATATGAAAATGTTTCATTGTATTAATAAGTTATATAACTTTTAAAATTTTTGAAAAAAGTTAAGAAAATTATATGGAAAATAAGCAATCTAGTGAGCCTTCCACAGTAATATAATGTCAAACACGATTGATGAATGTGAATATTTCACTCCAAAATTACATAAGAATAGCCTAAAATATTTAATTACTGCAAATAAACTGTTAAATATACAAATTCTTGTTTTTTTCTTTGTGTATCATATTTTAGCACTTATACATGTTTTCAATAATTCAAGAAAAATGAATTTTTTTAATGACTAATGATGTTTTATGCTCTTAAATATAAACATTCATAGGCACACAAGTAAATTTGTACTTCTGGTTGTGAACATATCATTTGTAAAAATGTTTAGAAAAAGAGCCAGTAACTTTATATTTGAATGGTACGAATGAATGTGGTTAATCTTATTCTTATCCATCAACTGATGGTTAATCTTATTCTTTTTATAACTGTATTATCACCATTTTGAATGTAATTCCATAACCAAGTGTTGTTTTCAAATAACTGAAGAAAGAAATATTTAGGATGTAGCAATTATATATACATGAGCAATTGTATGTTACCTGAGGATGTATCAATTAAATATTACTTATGTTATATGCATTTGACATATGACAACAAACATGTGCTAATTATTTGCACTTTTCAAAACTTTATGACAGCATCCATGGCTCTTTTTAGCCCAAAAGAGTTAATAGTTTTGTTTTAAGATTTTGCATTATTCACTCTAAATGGCTGCATCACTTTTTTGCGTTGTGCACTTTAAATGGCTATATCTCTTCAAATTGTTACCATCCAAACATTATCGCCCTGTATTATTTTTAAAAGAAATTAAATGATGAACGTTTTCCACAACGGTAACCCTTCCCTTAAGCAGATAGCTCTTGAGTGCTTTGCCATGATTAAATAAAAATACAATAAAACCCTTATTAGACTGTGCATGTATTTAAAGGATGGCGAATGCTTACGATTTTATAATTGTTTAACCTTTTGATACATGTTTATTTATTTGTTCTTTTTCATATTAAAAGGTGTGTGAACTTCACTTCAAGCAAGAGGATGTTCTGAGGCAAACTGAATTCTTTGATGAGAAAACTGGAAAGAAGATCATTATACCATTGTCATATCCTCGTTTAAAGAATGGTGCAATTCCAAGTCTGTTTCCTGATGGTCCGAGTCATCTTAGTTCCAGTGTTTCATCAAGGGAATCACCAGAGCATAAAAGACTCAAAAGAGAACAAGATGCACTCGAAAAAGCCTTAGCCTGTAGCTTAGCTGAAAAGGAAGAGTATGAACGAAAACAAATGTTTTTATAATTTAGATGAACTAAAAATTTGTTTTAATACTGTGAATTTACCAGATAACTGGATAGTTATACACAGGCCTATACATACTATGATTCTTAATATTTCTAATGACAATCATCCAAGAATTCTAAAATCATTATTGATTGATTGTAATTTGAATATATCTGTAGCAATTAGAAATATACCTATTAAATCACTGAAGCAATATGTAATCCCATCAAAAATTAACAACCTTAAAGATCTTTTAAGTATTTTAGAGAAATTAGACCTATTTGCCTCAAATGATTCATCTGAAGACAGTATTCAAAATTATTTACAAATTGTAAATGAATTAATGACAATTTTAAAAGAGAAAATTCCACATAAAAACAATGAAATAAATTTTCTCGTTGAGCAACTATCAAACTTGAATTCAGAAAAACAACAATATAGGTATTCTGCAGACTTTCTAATATTTTCCACTTTACTTCACACAATTTCACCACATGCATATAATTTTATTCGAAATTCAGAAAATATTATTATGCCTCATCCACGGACCATTCAGAATATTTTTTGCAGATTTTAATATATATCCAATAAATGAACAATACAACCAAAAGTTCCTAAGCTACATAAAATTTAAATTTCAAGAACTATCAGAAAAAGATCTGCTTGTTATTTTAATGATTGATGAAATTCATCTAAATCAAGCATTTGATTATAAAGGTGGTAATTTGTGTGGAATGGCATATAATTGCAAAAAATGCTGCATCTAGTGCATATGTTTTCATGATTCGCAGCCTATTATCTGTTTATAAGGATGTTGTACATATTTTGCCAGTGAAAACACTTAGTGCGGATAATTTGTATATTTATATTAAAAAATTGTTGTGGGATTAGAAAATATTGGGTTTAAAATTATTGCTATTGTCACTGACAATAATTCGATTAATAAAAAGGCTATGTCTCTGTTTTCCGAACCACCTAAAGTTAGTATTGTTTATCAAAACCCTGTTGACAAATCTAGGCCAATGTTTTTTATTATTGATACAGTGCATATTTTAAAATGCATTAGAAATAACTGGATAAATCAAAAAAATATAATAATCAGAGTATGTTTTTCCCAAGTTTTGATGATGCTTCACATATTGAAACTGCATCTTTTTCTTGTATTAAAAAATTACATGAATCTGAAACTGGTAAGTTATTAAAGTATGCTTATGGTCTGACAATAAAAGCTCTATATCCAACTAACTTAGAAAAACAAAGTGTAAAGCTTGCATTGCAGATTTTTAATGATAATGTTGTTGAAGCATTATCTGGAAACTTTATTAAAATAATAAACACATGGTGGTCAATTGTAAATGTGAAATCTATTTTTAAAGGGGTTCATAAAAATAATGTATTTGAAACACCTTTCACTGTGGCAGAAAATGATGAAATGATGAAAAATATGTTTTTATGAATAACTTTTTGAATTGGCTAGATAGTTGGAAAAATTTGAATTTAACCTCTGGTTGCCTAACCAAAGAAACTCACTTTGCAGTATACCATACAACGTATGCTTTAATTGAGATATCAAGGTATTGTATAAATGAGTTGGGTTTTAAATACCTTTTACTTGGAAAAATACAAACAGATATGTTAGAGGCTAGATTTGGTAAGTACAGGCAACTGGCTGGCTGGAGCTCACCATAATATTTCTATCAGACAGGTTTATGAAATAGAGGGTAAATTAAGACTTCAGAGTACATTACCAACCCTAATAAATTCTTCAAAATTTGGAAATATTCCTCTTCATGTATCTGATTTTAAAGACACTGAAGAACAAACTTTTGATGACACTGATGTACAAACATTCATAGATGAAATAACAGTTGAAGATAGTGATATACACGACATAAAATTGGATGTACCTATTTTGACTTATATAGCTGGATATTGCTGTTATAGTATGCTAAAAAAGTTAAAATGTGATGTATGTAAATCCAATATTACTATTGATAAGGAGTTAGCTTTAGAAAACGATGAAAATATTCATTCATGGATTAAGGTTTTTGATAGAGGTCTTATGTATCCTCATCCTGATATTTTACATGCTGTTATATACAATTTTATTGTTGTTAAGAAACTTATTTCAGATGAATATGAGCAAAAATTTTTATTTTCGGCAAATCCACGAGTTACAGTGTGTAAAATTACTCTAAATTTACTTCATGAAAATTTTTTTTTAGAGTTGAATGACTGTCCTAAACTTCATGACCCTCAAATTATTTTGAAAAACATCATACAAGCATCAACGAATATTTTTCTAAATAATTACTGCAAAAAGTTGAATGATAATCTTTTAAGTAACAATTTAAATAAGCAACGGAAATTGAAAACATTAAAAAAATAATTTATGCATACAGCAGAAATGACATATACTATGTTTATAAGTTAGTAAACTTTATAAAATAAGATAGTGACACTAATCTATTGTTTCTTATTATCTTCAGACTTAATTTGTAATTCATTTTATCTAAATGAATATTTTTTGCAGAATGTAGATAGTATGTTAAATAAAAAAAAATAGTGCTTTTTCTATTTGTGTTGTGAAATCTTTACCAACTCTTTCAAAATGCATGCACACACACACACAAAAAAAAAAGCATTTGTAATAGATAACTAATTATGACAGTAAAGTGCTAAAGTTGTTAAGTCTCTTATATAATATCATTTTGTGCAAAATAGGTGTATTTATTGTAAACTAGAGAAATATTGATTTTTGAAGATAAAATACTTTGCCAATTAATATTACTATTGTTTAGATTTTGAAATCAGTATCTTGCAATTTTTTAATATTATTTTAATTGAAGCAGACATGTTTATTACATTAATTTTACACTGTAAGAAGAAAATAAATACAATTTGTTTTTACCTACAATTCCATATGAGTCATTTTTATAGATATTCATGCATTTTTATGGAGGAAATTCACTGTATTCTTATACAATATTTTCATTGTAATACATGCTAAATTCTGTCAAAACTAAAATTAAATACTTTGGAATTAAAATTTCTAATGATGTGGTTGTACATATACAGGGGAAAACTTATCAAAAATAAATTGAGTAAAAAAATATTTTTAATCCTTCCCAGCTGTAAGGCTTCATGCAGTTATACTAAACTATTTTGATATTAAAAAGACTTAACTGTAATAAAAAATAAGTAGCATCAAGTTACATAAATAAATAGTCATCCCACCCTTTTTCCCACTGTAGTATGCAATGCCATTTCCTATTACTTCCAGTTATAAATTTACTGGTACAAAAAATTCAGGCCAAAAAAAAATAAATAAATAAAATCCTTTTTATATGTTTTGCATCCTAATTGTGTTGCTTTCCTTTAATAAAAATCTGAATTATTTTGAAAATTTTAAATCTTACTTTACATCTTAACAATCAGGCTATATTTATTTTCATTTCTAATAGGAAAATACATAAAACTTGTTATTCTTTCAATTCTAAGAATTGAGGACATTTGATCTATTTAGATGTTTTAAAAGTTCCTACTGATTACCCTGATAAAAAATTCCAGTAAATACATATATAAACTTCATATTTATCATTTGCTAAAAAATTCTCAAATAAGTTACAATGAAATGCTTTCAGGAACAAAAATTTACAAGTTACAAAAAAAATTATATGCACATAATTAGACAAAAGGGGTGTTACAAACATTTAACAATAAGAATGAAACATAAGAATTTTGAATTCCTAGCAAGTGTCAAGTTTGTTGAATTTTTACAATTTTTCTTTTTTTTTTTTTTTTTTTTTTTATTATTGGGGAAGATGCAGTTATGTATTCTCAAATAATGATCTAATTTAAAATGCCTAAATATATGAAATGTTTTGCTACCGTATTTTAAAACTACCAATGAATAAATATTGATAGATGCTAAAAAATAGTATTTTTCAAATCATTCTCCAGGTTTCTCATCTGTTAAGAAATTCAGTCCCACACTGAAGTGAAAAAAAAGCGGAAAATGACTAAACAATTATGTGTAAATTTGTATTTATGAGAAACAGAAAATGCCGTTAAAAATTGATTAAAATTAATTTAAGGATTTTTAGTGTTAATCAATTGTAAACTTGCTTAATTATGCGTTATCCTCTTTGTTAAGGAAGAAAATATTTAATAAAATATATATTCTTCAGAAAGCAAACCAGCATCAGCCAGATATTCAGTATATATATTTATTACTACTAATCTGAAGTATGTTGAATTAATTTCTTTACTATACTGTTATTATTTTAAGCATAAAAATATATAAGGAAAGTAAGGTTAGGTATTTGAAATTAGAAAATGCAGTCGATGAAATCAAATCGGAATATATATATTTGCACACACACACACATATATATATATATATTTAAAACCAAACGATATAGTAAGCCTTATGCAAGGAAATAAAAACTACTTTTCATTTTCTCTCCTCTTAAAGGAATAACAGCGATAAGTGGTTTCATGTGGCAACCATGCTTTCTGTACATAAGGACGACTTTAGTGACGTAGTGTGCGGCGTGCCGTGGCTTCGTTTATAGGAGGTACTGTCCATGCTCGAGGTCACGTGACGTCATAGGAGCCTGGACGTGGTTATCCAACACTTTCTGGGTAGTTAACAAGGCCTGAACATGAAGGTGTCTTCCTGTTTCCGAGATGTCATCAATCTTCATTAACCCCTCCCACGTTCTCAAAGGAATTACATAGTGGAGGGCGACTGGGCCTTGACATCTCCCGAAATGTAGGAAAGAAAAAAAAAAAAAAAAAATTAATTTATGAAAAGAATTTTTAAACGAAATAATTGAAAAATATTTACTATCTCAATTGCGTGAATGAAGTTAATACTGTATTTAAAAAGGGAGAGGAAGATGTTCAAGCTTTGGGATCATTTTGGCAAAGAAGATCGTTTCCTAAAGTAAAACTAATATGCTTCCGAAATTGTGCATAAAGGTGAGGTATAATAAAATCATTCAGAATAAATACTCGTTCTAAAACTAAGTTCTAACGACGTTCTTTCTTCTAAAACGTTCTTTGGTCTTATTGCGCCTTTCAGCTTTTTTATCATTTATGCAAATCCAATAAACTGCATTTTCCTTATTTCTATTCCCAATTCGACACTGATAACCTTTATAAAATGCTAAAGTTTTTTTTTTTTTTTTTTTTTTTTTTTTTTTTTTTTTTTAATAATGTCTAAAACATCTATACTGATTAACAGAAGATGGGAAAATAACAACGTAATAATGTAATAATAAGTAACAGAATTACAAATAGAATGAAACTAAAGATTTCGAGAAGAGTCTAAACTAAGACACGTCTTCAATCTAACAAAAACTACCTTATTCACAAAGAAACTGCCCGGCTCTTCTTAATGACTCATCGTGACATCTACTGAGGAGCTGTTGGAGGGGAACTGTACTCTCCGAAATTTCGCAGGAATAGGAGGAATTTCGAAAAATGCTGAAAGAGGTGTAGAGTTCCTCACTTTGAAATTATTCTAAGTTACTGTTGGAAATGAAGAATCTTAAGAACTGATAAGCGAATAATCGCTTGAGTTCGTGTGACAGGAAACAACAAGATAGAAAGGTAAACTAACCCTTTATTATCACAAGTAAAGTTTAACAAAACTCCGTCTTGGAGTGTACAATAAAGCCGACACTTCGACTTGAACTTAGGATACTAAGAATTAACCTAAACTAATCTAAATAAAGAGGTATAGCCGAAGCTATCAAAATTCTAACAGAGTTGGCCCCTTAACATTAATAGACTGCGAAGCTGTCAAGGGCCTAAAGTACGGCCGAGCGTCATAATAGCTTACGAGAGAGTAGCCTAAAAAGGCGGAGGCGTGCAGCCAGAATACCTGGTATCTCTCTCCCTAAGACCGAAGAACTTCGCGGTTAAATACCGCTCTTCCTCATTATGTATTCAGACGTGATTCTAAATCTACGTTCTGGCCGGAAGTGGTAAGTTGAAATTAAGAATAGATAGTAAAGGAACTTTAACTCAAAATTTAACTGTTAATAAAATTAACATAATCCTTATAGACGAATCGCGGAAACAGAACTAATTCAACACGAAGAGTGACGTCACAGCAGAAGACCAATTGCTTGCGTCTCCGTTCTATCTTAGATTCGCTTCTTTATTAACATAGCTCTTGCTTTTTTTCCTGATTGTTTCCCTTACTGTTTGCGATTAATAATTTAGAAAAAAATTCGCAGTGGAATTCTAAAGTTAAATCTTTTGTATTCCAGGAAGTTAAGACGATATCTTCGCTTTTTATTGCAGTGTAAAATATAGGAAATGAACCTGTTGAATAAATTTAATTTCTAATTTTCTCTCTTTCTCTGATATTACTACTAGATGATTAATAAAACCTGCTCTGTAATTTTTGTTAGAATGTAATTGGAAGAAATTACTGATATCTTCCCATTTACACATAACATACGCAGATGGTGTTATTTTATTTTTTTTTCCTTCTATGCGCTTGCCCTGGAATATTTAAATCATTTGCATATCCCAGCATATAATACTTTTCATGCAAATTTGTCGTTTTTTGCATACCACTTTCAAGGTGTCACAATTTTAATGTATATACAGACATTAAATATATATGCATAATTATATATTTATATGTAATAAGTTGACTTGGTTCCATGGATTGACGATGGTTCTCCGCATTATAACTTGAAGAGGCTTTACTGCATAGTTAGAAAGATGACTCTCGAAGACAGACATGCAATAGAAAAAACGGTACTACTCGTACGATTTTTACAAAACTTGGCATTCTGGCATAATTTGAGTCGTAGAATCGAAATATGGAAAAAAATTTGTATTTTATTTCAGAAAAAGTCCGGTTTTGTGTCAAAATATCTATGTTAGAATAGTGCTATATATAAATCTAATATATATCCTAAGTCGCGCTTTCGAGACATGAAAAACGCAGTTTTAATTTTGTCAATTTCCCCAGTAGAACGGGAGATATAGCACTGCCCCCCCTTTTTTTTAGCAGTGTACTTACATATTAACGCCACTGCAGCAGAAGTGGCGCTGATGCGCCAATAAAGAGCAGTCCTGTTGGATTCCTTTTTACCTTGTTGTTTGCTAATTTTTGACGCCCTTTTTAGTGCTACAAAAATGAGTCTTCGGGATTTGCCAAACACAGAAGAAGATGCAATTTTATTTTTTCAGGAGCGAAATATTTTACCAAAAAAAAAAAAAAAAAAAAAAAAAAAAAAAGAAAAGAAAAGAAAATGTACCAATTCGCATGATATGAAACTTTATTTTGGTAAACGTACGTTTTGGGAATGTAATTTAAGACAGTGTGATCATCAAGGGTGACTTGGAAAAGACAACTGGTTTGAAGGAAGCAGAATTCCATTTTGTTCAGCTTTGTGATTCATATACTGCTGGTGCGAGGAGTTGACGTCGATTAAATTTTGTGAAAAGCAACTTGATTTATCGAATAAAACTGTTATAGGTTGGAACAATTACATGCATGAATTATATGTCTGGGATATGGAGAATAAGTCAAACAAGAAGGTAGGTGAACCAGATTGCATTGCGGAAATTGATGAAAGTTTGTTTACTTAAGCGTAAAAATAACTGTGGTCGAATATTACCCGAACAGTGGGTGTTTGGTGGCATATGTAGAGAAATAAAAGATTCGTTTGTTATCACTATTCCTAATAGAACTGGCTCTACCCTTCTTAACAAAATTATTGAAAACATTGCAGATGGTAGCACAATTTATTCTGACAGTTAGAAAGGTTACCAAACCAATAGAATAGAAAAAGAAGGATTCCTACATGCTAAAGTTAATCATTAATACAATTTTATTGATACTGATACTGGAGTTCATACACAAACAGTTGAGAGAATGCGGGGCAGTGCTAAATGGAGGAACAAGAGACATAGGCGAACAGTGAGACATCATTTAAAATCTTATTTAGTAGAGCTCATATGGCGACAGCATCAGGTCAAAGAAAATAGAGACAGTTTTGAATCTATGTTAAACTCTGTATCGGTCCATTTTCCACCGAAATTCAAATGACTACTTTGATTTTAAATAAAGTGTTTTAATTTATGATTCGTGGCAAAAATTTTAGGTGTAGATTGGCGGCACTTAAAAACCGCCAAATCTGCAGCTGCGGTGGCGTTAATACATAAATACCGAAAAAACTTAGAAGTAATGAGTAGCAGGAATTTTGATAGCGCAGAGTTGTTGAAAGGCCAATCCGCAATGAATAAGAAATTTGGCAGTCGAGGCAGTTTTAATTCAACTTTTATTTCAGCAAACATGTTGCAGTCACAAACAAACTGGCACATTATTTATGCCTATTCCAAATTACATTTTTGATAAATTTGCAATAAGAAAGAAGGAGCATACAGACTGTAGTCCAGCTAAGTCAAAGCGTAGAAAGCAAATGCATTATGTTCAGGCTGAAACCTTAATTCAGACTGAGTTATTTTTGGTTCTCAATGCATTTTGATTGGATAGTTAATACTGCTGCAAAATTGCTATTGGCTGTTTTAGTTCCATTTACATCATTAGAATTATGTAAGAGTCATATGACATGGATTAATCTCGAAATGATGTAGTGCAGAGATATAGAATAGAGAAAGGAAATTAATTTACGCTGCTAATTTTAATCTTTTACATATTCTTTATGCAAAATTTGAAAACAAGGTAAAAAGGAAATTCTTCATGCTATTGCTTAAAAGCAAATGTGATATTGTGGTTCCCGTGTAAAATGTTTTAACACTATGTAAAAATAAATCGTATTACAAAAAGTTTAAATACAAGAAGTATTAAATACAAAACAAGAAATGATAAGATTTGCCGACTTACGATAAATATTTACTTACGACTTACGATTTGATCTTTGACCAAATCGTAAGTCGATTGATTTGAATACGACTTACGATTTGATCTTTGACCATCGTTTTAAAATGAATAATCAAAATTGCCAACTTACATTTGATAACTAACTTTTATGAATTCTTTTTCTTACTTTTTATTAATGTCAAAGTTTAAAATCTTTGAAAATACTGAACATGTGTGAAATATAAGCATGCGAGACAGCGACGGGTTATTTGGAATACTTTGTGCGACTTTGTGTGAAATACAAGCATGCGAGACAGCGACGTTATTTACAACTTACATAAATTGTAGAACTGAATTGTTCTCGAATGTTAAATTAAAATAAATTACTGATTATACTTATTTTCAGAAAAACCAAAGCTTAATTATTAGGAATCTAAATTTTAAAAAGTAAAAAAACCTGATGTTACTTTAGAATAATGTCATTTTTAGAAGAAAATAGTAAATTACATAGTATATACGCGGAATACATTATCACATCAAAGATTTAGTTACACTCATTCAAGCCACCACTACATCCTTCGCAACTTTGTCTAATCAGCCTATTTTTACCAAAATAAGTAATCCCTTTAAGCAGGGGGAAAGTATTATAGCAGAGTTAGTTCCTCTCTGGAGCTTGCAGCTCCAAATCGCTTGTATCAAGGTGAAAAAATAAAGTGTCATTAATAACAAAATCAATCATAAATTATGATTCGAAATAAATGTCTCATTAGAAATTACTCTAGTTAAAATAATAACAAAATTTCAACAGCGTGAGGTTTATGTTACCTAGTAAGCAAAATTTCTGATTCAGTAGCAGCCATTGCTTTTTGGACATGAGATTTCCAGACGCAGTTTTATTGCCTTTTGCCAT